ATATAAACGTAAGAAAGTGACTTCGTCGAAGTGCAAAGTGGTTTGGGAATAAAGAGATGAAGTTTGCTCATTAATTAGGTTGGTGACTCGTATTCTACTTCTACGTTGAATCTTGTGATAAGGTTTTGGAAAATTACTGAATTAATCTTCCCGATTACAGTTTTAATCTAGTCGCCGTCCGTTGGGAGAGATATTCATTTAACAGTAGGGAGTTTCAAAGGAAGCTTCGTGAAGAAAAAAAAAATCCAATAAAACCCCTCAGGAGCAGAGAGAAAACTCATAGAAGGGAGGAAGGCCAAAGGGTAAACTCTGGAATCTCAACGCAATATCTTTTTGGTAATTAACGGTTGTTAAGATGTTACTACACGTAATTGTAATTTATTTCATGTGCCGAAGATGATTTATAACTGAAATTGAATTATAAGTGGTATAGTAAAAATTTAAATTAATTTTTTGTTATATTATTTTTTTTTTGTTTGTTTTAACCTCACAGTGTATTTTTCATTAACAATAATTAATTCTTGATGTTAGAGTGATTGTAATATAGATGGGGTGAAGCAATTAATTCAGGTTGTATCGAAGTATAAATTATATTATCACCTTGGCTGTATAACTAAACGTGGTTTATGAGAAACTAACTTGATAGTCTGTGCTCTCGAATGGAATATAACCACACTTACGCGATTGACCTCTGAGAGTGTTACGGTATGTAAACTGATTAACGAAAGTTCGTTAATCGCCAATTGCATTTTCCATCGACATAGAAACATTTCTGATGAAAGACGATGTATTATAATTATTATACGTAAACTAATATTAGTCTCAATTATAAACCAAGTGTTAAAATTATTTGTATTTAAAATTAATTTTGAATTTTTAAAATCATAATTAAATTTTTTTAAAAAAAAACTTGGTTAACATTTTCTGAAGCAATTGTCAATTATGATTTAGGATTTTCAACTGTGAAGGGTATTTAAGTCTTTTTTACATTACGCAATGTCCGTGTAGTCCAAAAGGAACATTTATCATAATTAGTGGGATTTTAGAGTTAATTGAAGTTTCCAGAATACTGGGAAAAGTTACTTTGGCTAAGTTGGCAGCTTACAAGCCCCAGGCTTCGCTTTGAATAAATACAGCTATTCCTGGCATAAAGCTAATGTCTTGTTCACCTATCAACCATTTTTTATAATTTAAATTTTTTTAAAAATTTAATTCAATACCATTATTAAAATATTTAGTGACTGTTACTTAAAACATAGATTCGATTAAATTAGTTAATAATCTTCTTGGATTACGAAAACAAATTAGCACCTCGGAAAATTTAAATAGAGAATTTTTTATATCAAAACTCTAATTACAATTAAAAAATCAGTTCTGTTCAAAATCTTCATCTTTCTCACATAAAAAAATTCCCCCTCTGTAAATTTCTTTGAATTTCCAATAAATATTTGATAAAATTCTAGGGAATTAAAAATCCAAAAGAAATCTATTAGAAATTATTATTGTAATCTGCAAAGTGACCTTCCGGGGAACTTTACATTTGGATTCAATTTTTCTCACTTGTATTCTCTTTGTATTATTATGAAGAAAATCCTTTTTTAAAAATGGCTCAACCGAGTGGAGAATATAAAGTCATAAGCGAGTAGAGCCGTGGTCAGAAAATTTAAGATCCTTTTACAAAGTTCAAGGATTTATCAGTCGAGCGAACTAGTTCCCTTTGAAGTCTCAATTTCAGGATTGACTGAGTTTTAGCCTGTTCGCAAACTGAGAGGTCGGTACATTGAGATTTCATGTACATGAAATTCATTCAACACATATATACATACCTATAGAAAACTTCAACTGGTCGATGGGGCTTTGATTTCTCGCTTCTATGTTCACCCTTTTTAACCCTTTCTCTCTAGCGTCTAGACAGCTCTTAAAGACGAACTGAATAAAAAGTACATAAACCTTTACCACATACTTGACACTTTAAATATATATAGTTCAATTTTGCACAACAACTCAGGTGCAAGTGAGGTCAAACACTTGTTTCTTTTTTGTTCATCAAAAGGGCTTTTAGGATTTCTATGAGATCTCAAAAAGAACACAACAAAAAAAAGTGAGACCTTCTGATTAAAATCGGAGATGATTTTAACAAGAAGACCTTCATCGTGGAAGTTACCAAGACGGTTGAAGGAATAGATTAGATGGTGTCAGTGGATCAGAGGGTCACAGTTGAGATCGACAACTTGGATTGCCTTACCCAAGAAGTACCACCGTGGCGGCCCCGGCATCAGAATAGGGCCCCCCTAGGTTACCGCGTGTCGTAAGAGGCGACTAAAGGATACCCCCTGCTGGAACGAAAGCGGAGTCCCAGCTAGGGGCTGGCAGTGCAGAGGCGTTCATGCAAGTCAAATATTTGTTCGTCCGTCCTCAATGCGATCCGTGCGTATCGGATAATTGAGAATGCGTCCTAAAAGCCACGGTGATGATAGTGAACTCCTGTAATGGTAATGGTAAAGGACGGTGGTCTGTGTTATACTTGCAACTGTTATTGTCTAAGGAGGTTTTCTTTAGAGTTTTTCTGGCATCAATCTCGCCGCTGCCAACAATTAACAAACCTGTGTAACATTGGTCAATAAGCGTCCCAAAATGACGAATGGTTCAATCGTGATGTTCCAATAGGATGGTGGCTTTGGCACGTGTTGCCGCTTGCCTTGACCTGAAGTAGTTCCGAGTTTTTCAGAAATCACTACCTTCCGGTTGGTCTTGGCATATATGTGGTGCATGTTGTCGTATTTAAACGGTAACCGACCGCCAGTATGGCCTCCGGTTCTCCGGATAGTGGAAAGTGGTACTCATACCTGAGTAGAATGGTACCACGGGACCTGTCTGGAGCCCAGGAGACCTTCGGGTCTCCGCCAGGCATTGGGTATGGATCCGTGGTGACAGTGGTTACAGCCCACATCGCTTGGGGTTAGTGTGCGTTAGCACGTTGTGCACACGTCTTTCGTATTCGGTGTGTGAGTTACATTAACTCAACTCGGCTAGAAACTTGCAGAGTTTCCAGGGATTGGAAAGGTCCCGGCTCTCACCAAGAGTGGCAATCGTGACTTAGGTCGGTCGCATTGTCAATTGGCAGGTGACTGGAAGAAATGCTGCGTCATCGGTGCTGGTCAGGCATTAACTCTTGACCCCGTGTCTTATGGGGAACCGTGCTTGTATACCTGTACAGGGAGTTCTTGCACGTTAAACATTTAGGCGATTACCCAAGAAGTAGACGTCTAGGAAGTATTGGTTGAGGAACTCCTAAAGCCAGGATGCAGGAAGGTGATGGTCTGAGGATCCAACAGGCGGGAGATGAAGCTTGTGATTGTAGTAACCAACCCAGAAGAGGCGGTAGGTTAAAGGAATTACGCGGCATTAAAATTAGGTTTATGTGCTGCCCAATTAGGAGTGTTATGGTCATCAGGTGTCATCGATGTCTTGGTTACACCAATATAGCAAGACACAGTTAGACGAGAAGGTTAGAAGGCACAAGGCATCCAAAGACACCTAAAATGTCAGACCTAAAGTCTCTCCTTGAGGAAGCCAAGAAGACTGTCGCAAGAACAAAAAAGAAATAGTCCAGAAAAATCATCAGACTCATTGTCGTGTGGAAGAGATCACAGGGACTTTCACCTACGAAGTTTAAAGCTTGACGGTAGTTCCGTATGATGCAGATCTGTCCAGCCAAAGGTGTGGTTTTTAGTAAGATCCCAAATTATCTCGAAGCACCTACTCCAGGTATCTGCCTCGGCTATCAAAGGTTTTGCAGATTTTAAATTATTAAAAAAAAAACAATAATAATTTGACTCAATTCATTAAGATGAAATTGTGTATTTATATCATTTTATTTTTGTTTACATAACATTTCATACAACAAAGAATCATATCTTTCAATCATTCAAAAATAACATTAAATTTATTGTATAACGAAACATGTATTATTTTACACAACTTTCAATGCTGCTAATTATCTAATTGGTGCAGACTTCTTTTTCAGAATTAATAGTTCTTTCTTGTTCCTATTTCCTTAGTTAAAACGTATACTTAATTATTTTTTGTTCCAAAAATCACAAAATAAAATGGTTTGAAAATTAATTATTAATATTACCATTCACAATTGTATGTACAATAATTACCTCGGACGTATCATTGAGAGATGAAATGTAATAACAATTCGAATCAGCGATGAAATGTCATCCATTAATTTTAATTGAAAAATTACACTATTTCCGAAAAAGTCTTTTCACGTGATATGCTTCATGCGTCTTTTTTGGATTAGAAACTTTAATATTATCTTTTTTCTATTTTGTATTGTTTTTGAGTAAAAAATTTTGAATATAGTTTATGAAATTGAAAATGATATTTAGTAAAAAATAGAAAAATGGTAATTTTGTGGCTTAAATGATTTCTTTTTATTGGTAGATTATCATCACTGAATCGACTATTGTATTTCTAATTGACCTCGAGCAAATTCGTCTCGTGATTTTGTAAAAATCCAAATTTTTTTTTTGTTCGATAAACAATTTTCGCTGTAGAAATTGTCATAAAAATTGCCTTAATAATAAAGTCCTTCCACTAAATTGCAGAAGGAAATCACAAGTCCATTTCAACAATTCCAAGGAGCAATCCAAATTCGTTTTGCTGACAATATTTCTCGTTAAAATTTCGAAATATTTGATTTTGAAGAAAATCAACACACTTTTATGTATATCAACTTCTCACAGCACAGTTTATGATGACTTATCACAATAAAATCTTTCTGATAATTTCAATCAGATAAAACAAATCAACAAACAAAAATTATCTAATAATTTGTCTAACTTATATTTATAGTTAGCTTTATTTTGTCACAAAATTTTTTTTGTTTTTTTCATTACGAAATAAATAATTAACAATAATAAAATTAATAATAACAATAACATTATTAATAACAATAATAAAAAATATGATAATTATAAATATATATATACATTATAAATGCACAATAATTATAAAAATAGAAATTTTTTAATTTTAGAAAAGTAAAATTAAAAATGGAATTTGTGACAGTCTAAATTCTAGTTTAAAAAATTTCTTTTCATTTAAATGTTTAATTAAGACCGTGTCCTAGGAACAAGATATTTTCGTTGAATATAATTTTTCTTTACATTAATCATCTAAGTAATTAAAATAAAAATTTAGCTATTGTAAATTAAAAAAAATAGAAATTATAAACATGAAATTTTGAAATAAAATTATCTATTCAAAATCTATATGAACAAATTGGCTAAAACTGAAGGCACAGGATTTATTTGACACCGGTCTTAATATTTCTTAAGCATTTAATTTTTTTTTCTGAAAAGTTACTTTTGCAGCTATATTATTGTTATTTCGTGCAAAGGACTAGATTTTTCATTTCATCCACAAACGTAAAATACTCCCTTGGACTGTTATTGTTTCATAAAGGTTCTATTAAGTTTTTTTCGATACTTTCGGAACTGATATATTCCTTGAAAATAACCATCGAATAAAGATAACACTTTGCAGGTTTAAAGGATTCTTTTCTTTCTTTATACAGAATATTTACAGTCAAAATTCTTGGCGATCGGCTTTAGGGGATCAAGTTTGATCCTTGGATGTCCTACCCACTGTTTTCTCTTTCACTTGAGTTTGCATTTTAGTGTGCTGCTGCTTTGGCAATTTTTTCTTCTCCTTTTTTAATGGTGGCTTCTTTTTTTTTGTCGAAGACGATTTTAGATTTAAAGACTGACTGGCAATGTCTTCACGAAATGCTAAAAAGCCTAATTGAGCATGTGAGGCCTCATTTAATGCTCGTGAACGAATACAAGCTCGATATTGATCTGTTGATAATCGTTGACCAGGTCCACCCGAGCAAACCTGAAACAAATTCACACAAATGTTTTTTAAAAGAATAAAGATTTGCACACAATTCTCTTATTAATAAATTAGTTGAAGGGATATTTAAAGCACGGACGGTGAAGAAAGACTTTGATTTGACTAACGATGAATATTAATTAAGAGCTCTTTGTGATAGTGAAGCATTGCTCTTCAAGCTGTGTCCACGTTCGGTAAGTAGCATCAGTATATAGTTATGTAAAAAAAATTTTATTTTATATCGAGTCTATAAAATTATAAATGAATTACAAGCTGAGAAAATTTTAAAGCATATTTTTTTAAAAGAATTTATCTAAAAACATAAGTAGGTTTATTTAGTTTTTCGATTTTTATATAAAAAAATAGATTCTTCATCTTTAGAATTACCTTTGGATGCCAAATATGAAAAATCCCCGGATCTGTAGCTCTAATGACCTTGATGTTGCTCTTAACGTATTTTCGATATAAAGTGACATCTTCTCCACCCCATCCGACAATATCCTCGTCAAATCCTCTTACCCTTAGAAAATCAGATCTGCAAATATTGTTACATATCTCTTGCATAAAAATAGATTCAAATCCAAACGTTGAGAAAAATAAATTGAACAAACAAAATTCTTTTAAAAATAGTTTTTAAATTTATAATTTTGTTGAAAAAAAGAAATTAGCGTTTGTTAAATTGTATCTTTTAATATATTTTAATTAAATATTTGATGTTTATAATCTTTTTAAAAATTTAAATTAAGGTTGATGTAAAATCAAGATTATCGTATTCATTGTTAATATAACCTGTATTGACATGTCATCCCGTATCCGAAATCCCTCCAAAATCCGGTGTCTCTTGATATAACCAATTGATCAGTTTCAGGCGGCACTTCGCGACCCTGAAGTGTGTACACAACGTGAGGATTATATAGACTAAAGACAATGGGATAATAGACCTTTCGACCTGGAGCCGTATTCCATCGACACCTGTGATAGAAGGACAAGTTTCAAATTTCAGAGCATTATCGATCGATTCAAAGTTTCAATTCAGATTAATGTTGACAGCCATTTCCTCCTCCAATTAAGTTATATTTTTGGAAAAAATGAATACAAAAGTTTCACTAATTCTAAAAATTTTGGACTCACCTGTCCAAAAATCTGGCACTAAATACAACATCGACATCACACATGAACAAAAGAACATCTCCCTCTCCTTCCCAGGCTCTTTCAGCACCAACCCTTAATCCTTTGCCCCTTGAGAAAGTTTCATTTAATGCCAAAAGTCGCAAATTTTGATTTGTCCCACCACTACCACGAGTCATTAAAATCCTAGACATATTTAAAATCATCTAGCTAATAAAAAAATGATTTTTTAAATTAATAAAAAATACCAAAAATAATTTCCAATTACCTTGACATAATAGCTCTAGCTTCTGATAAGCCTTCAGTACCAAAATAAACAACCGTTAAATGTACTCTTCTATCATTTTTGAGACCAATCTTCACAAATTTGTCCATAAAACTTTGAAAGGTACTTGTTCTACCAGAAAGTGGTAGAATTATATGAATCAGTTCCTTTTCCTTGGCATGTTGCCTCTCAGTTGAGACAAATTGAATAGGTGCGTAAGGCCTCATTAAGGTAATTTTAGTATATCCCGAAGGTGTTACTTGTGCAGCACTTTTATTTAAGTTCTTTGTCCTAAAGTACATCTCATATTGAGTTCCTGTAGTTGGCTCAATTCTATAGAGACCTTCTAAGAAATCTTCCAATGTATACCTTAATGAAAGCGATGATACATTTTTATTTAATGCATCCATTGCTTTGGTAAGAGCCTCAAGTAAATCTTTTCTTTTAAATCCAATTGGTTTTTCAACAACACGTTTGCCTAGACCTAAATCGACTGGATAAAGTCTTGAGAATGTAAAATGATTGAATGCTATTAATTCATATTCGTTGTTTAGTGGAAGACCCTGAGTGATCTCTGCAAATTCAACTTGTCGACGTGCTGCCAAACAATCACCCACATCGCTGGCATTTATTAATGAAGACGTTTCACTATGTCCGGGTGGTCCTCCTGAAACAGTAAAAAATTTGCATTCTAATATTTTTCAAAATTTTCAGAATAATTTGTTTTGAAAGGGAAATATGTGATTCTTTAATAAAAAATTTTAATACAGTTGCTGACTGATAAGGTAATAAAATGTTATTGCCATGGTAACTAGTTAGCGATGAACATTGATTGCTGAAAATAAGTTCCATTTTTGTACATCGAATTTCCTATATCTAGGTCAAATGTTATAATTAAAATTCTCATTCATGATAAATTGAAATGCAGTTAATTATTTTATTATAACGTTGAAAAACCGACTCTGAAAACATTGGTACGTGTAGTAAGGTACAATAAAGTAAATTCTCTAAACATTATGCGAAATATATTATGCTGGGATGCTGCTGGCGAATATCCAATATTCGGTTACATATTATATGTTAATAAAGCTATAATTTAGGGTAATTAAAATATTATTCTTTAAGTAGTTTTTCTTTTATCTTATCACGCATTAATTATATTCAGTTTCATATATTTCTATTGAAAATCTCTTTATTTTCTTCTCTTTAAATCCTTATCGACTGATATGTACTGGTAGTGCAAGGGTTTTAAAGCACTAAACTCGAAGGAATCTTCAAACAAATAAAAACTTCCAGTTGCAAAAGGCACTCCAACAAGTAACGTACTGACATAAATTTTAACCTCCCTCCCCTCATTCCATTTCTACATTCTTTTTCAAACCCTCTTTTTTTTCGCTTGCACCTTGTGATAATGGCCTTTCTGCACAGTTTGAACCGTTTCAGCAATTTTCTTTTTTGCGTTATCAAACATTTATGTTCTTTGTTCTCTTCTGGAAGAATGCATTTGAAAGGATAGAAAAGAGTACTAGAGAATTAATTTACCGTTTTCTGATAATGGAAATAATCAAAGGGAATGATAAATCAAATATTTGCAATTATGTTGATTTAATGAAAAATGTTTCATATAATTTCATTCCTATTGTTATTAAAATCGTTAGTAATAATTATTCAAAAAAAAAATTTTTAAATTCAATGAAAATAATTTTAAATAATAAAAATCCCATTACAGTATATTGACACTTACAACTTTTAGAAGCAAGCAAGGATAGCTTTAAAATTTATACGAGAAAGTACCATTAAGTAAATGATATAACGATATTTGATTTAAGTTCGTCGTTGAGTCTTTATAACTATATGAGTTGAATTAAAACTTAAAATTAAATTAAAAATAACGTCTGAATTCAATTTTACTGCAGGTTAAATAGTTGAATTTTTATATACTTTTAAAACTAAATTTATTAAATAATTTTAAAAACGTATTATTTAATTTCAAATTTAACATAAAAAAAATTTTTTCAAATAAAAATTGTAGAAAAAATAATTAAACGAGAACATGAAAAAGTCACAAAGCAATGCGTCTTAATAATCAAAAGGGTAATTTCTGCGCGTTGGTAACTCCAGCCGGAAACCACGTCGGCCTTGATCCCAGAGAAGAAGATTTATCTGGGCATGAGTAAATGACATTAAGGAAGATCGATCGACCGATGGAAGGACCGACTCTGTAATTACAAATCCCTCGTGCTTGACTTATCTATACAGATCGCTTGCTAATCTCGAAGGTTGAAAAGGAAAAACGGTTTTCATTGACCTCAGAAAAACGTCGTTTTCGAACTCTGCAAAATTAAGTGCTTCACAAATAGACCACAAGATACTGTTAATTAAAATCGATTTCAAACACAATTTTCATCTTTTAACATTAAAATAACGTATCGTAAATATATAATTTTATTTAAAATATTGTTAAATATTATGAATACAAATTAAATTATTTACCAGTAAGCTGCAAGATCTGCAGCTTTAATGTTCGAATTTCAGCTGTAAGCCTCTCAACCTCGAGTCTAGTTTCTTCTTCCCTTAAATTTGCTTCTATTAAATTTGCAGCTGTAACAGGACCTGAAAAATAATTAAAACAATCTAGTTATTTACGATAAAAAAAAATTACAATTCAATAAATAATTATTCTAAATTCATACAGTATGCGTCAATTTTAATAAATAAGGAAAAATCTGTTTGTTATATGAAAAATTCAACTTTAAAGAATCTCTAGAACGCTCCCTTTAAAAAGCTGTAAAAGCGCGCGGAATGTTATCAGTGACCATTGCTGCATGAAAACATGAATTGCCCGGATTCCAATAGTCAAACGATTCGCTTGACATTTTAGGAATGCAGAAGTCCTCGTTATATCGAAACAATTTCCACATTTTCCAAATTCTCAAAATTGAATATACAATATATACAATAGAGATTTGAAATAATTTTAATTGAAGAAAATAAAAATTGATGTTTATATATTTTTTTTATATATGAGACGCACAGATTATATAATAATAAAAGTTTTTAGGTCGATGTAATAAATATGATATTAACTTTGTGATTTTATTCAACTGGCTTTTACAGTGCACGTCTTCTTTATGGACTCACTGTCGGATGGTATTTTATTTAGCTTTATATTCACTACACACGGTCGAATGCTCCCTCCGGCGTTCTCAACAACTTTATGACCCAGAAACTTACCATTTTGGCTCCTCTTACCCGACCCAATTTTCCATAATACAAAATAAAAAAAATGTTGAATTTATTTTCATGCTATTTGTGAATTAGAAGTAGGAGCTTTTATTTATTTCATTACTTGTAATTATAATTCGAGAAAACAGATTAAACCTAGTCGATAGGATAAATTTGTTATTTTGATTTTGACTATAATACGTTTTAAATATAGAAGCTCTGACGTTGGTCCGTGACCATCATGAATGGGAAACCGACACAATCTTGCAACACTTGTAGAGGATTGATGCAGGTAGAGGTCTTTGTTGAAAATCAAGCTACTTGATTACGTTCTCATGGTGCCTGCAGATCCTTACGATAGATTCGCTTATTGTTTTATGTTGAAAGCCCATCCTAATGAATATTGTCGTTAACAGATTCACCCATTTCCCTCTCCATCACTATAGTTATTGAATTCCATATTATAATATTGGTTGCCCGCTTTACCAATAAATAAACTATTAAAGGAATAAAGGAAAAGGATTGAATTTCGAGGAAAGTATAAATTTGTAATTTTGTTTAGACATTCACATAAATTATTATTAATTATTCAACTTACAACTTATGTCACCTAATTCAAATTAATAACAGAGAAACAGGTAACCAGTGCACAGCACTAAACCACTGCGATTACTTTTGTTTTAAAATTGTTTATAACGATCTCTCCAACACTCTTAACGCGTAATAGAGACGACCGATCCGGAAGACAGACGCAAAGCAATTGAATTTAAATATAATGAGAGGAACCAAGTCAAAGCGGAATAGACTATAGCGACATACGATAAACAGAATAAGGGAAACTATAGTATATAAGGGAAAGACTGTGACTATGTTACAATATTTGTAAAATGGATAAAAATAATAATTAATAAACATATTACAGACAAAAATTAAAAACGTTTTTTTTCAAATTATGCTAAATAATGAAAGTAATGTTAATTAAGTTACAGAAGATGAAACAGAAATAAATGTAAAGTTTACAGTTGTTGTACAATTACCAAGCTTGGTGAGTTTGACTTTTCTCTTCCTCTCTTTCTCAACGATGCTGTGCAATGTACAAACTATATTGTACTACGAGAGGGTTTACGGCCTGTAAAGAATCGGGCTAGTAAGTACGATAAATTGTGTGGCGTTTCTCCCTCGCGCACAGAGTGTAAGTGAAATAAATGTCTCTGTTCGTTGCTTAATGGGCATCCTGTTTCCCAGCGTCTTAAGTCCAGTATCACTCTCTCTTTCTCTTTTTCTCTCTTTCTCTCTTTTCTGCCAGACATGCTTTTTGACACTAATTCATAAAAATGTCCGTAAATCCATTCACATCGAAAGCATCCTCCATTTAGCTTTTATCAGACAAGCTTCCTCACTTATAGTCTCAAGTGACAAGAAATATTTTTACTTTCTGTGAAGAAAATACTTAAAGTAATATGGTATTATTTATTTTTTTTTTATATTATTTGGAAAATAAAATTTTTATTTAAAACGATAAATGTTTTGTTACTTGCGACATGAATGCAAAAGACGTTTTTCACTGATGAAAAAAAGTTTATAGGCAATCATTGAGTGAATCAATCACCGCACGGCTGACTATAAACGCATTTTCTACTGAAGAAAGCGAGTGTGATATATCTCACAGTAGTTACGATCGGATTTGATCAGACGCAATCTGATCGTGTGGAAGCTTATACTGATGGATTTAAATTTCTAAATTTAGTACCAAGATTTTTAAAAAGATATTATTCAATACTTCTGTTAGAATATTAACTTAATACAAAGAATATACGCGCAAAGACTGAATAGAGAAATAAAATGTACACAAGGATTTTTGGCATGTAAAATAGTATAGGCTTAATTTTGACAACGGGTAAACGAGGACTGGCTTCAAATTACCTGAGTACAGACCTTAGGACCTTCGTTCGGGGATGTACATTAAGTGGGGAGGTCATAAACGGACCCTTACAACTTTTCTTGAATTTCACTATTTGTACATAGAAAATAAATATGTCGCAAATATAATAGTTGTAGTTCCAACAACTTCAAATACTTTTTTTTGTCAAACACCTTTTGTATTGTCATATTTGTAAATATGTCATTGTATAGCATTATAATATTTATTGTAAATCCTTTTTTAAAATATTTTATAGAATATTATATAATTTTAGAGAGAATTTAATTCAAGGCTTTGATATATATGTATAACTGAAACGTGTCATGCTTTAGGGAATAATTTTATTTATCCCTTGTCAAACTTGTTAGGGTCAACAAATAATGCAGATACGCTACAGAGAACTTTGAATCCTACATCCTAGGGACAAACAAACTGTGATAGCCTTCCTGTTTGATCATACACTTAGCCTTCGACATGAGTATCAACCTACATGAAATGTGTACCCAAGGGCGAACACAGTATGTTGACCTGCATACCCATCTACTAAGTGAAATGGCCTAAAGTTTGCCAGCTACTCGGTACTCGTTCATGGGTTTCCACCCTCACGTGAGTTTAACTAGCTCTTTCATATCTCTATTACCAGTTCCTCTTTCATCGTCCTCTTTCGTCGTTCTAGTTGACACACCCTTTTTAATGATAGAACTAATAGTTATATAATCGAACATATTTTTAAATTTTAATTCAAAAAAGTTTATCGAAACAAAAAAGAAAATTGTTTTCATCCGGCCAAAAATTGAAATATAAACAAAAAAAAGTAATAGAAAAATATGATGTAAACAAAGAAAGAGGGTCGCAATTCAATTACGATATTTGCTCGGGGAATTATCAATAAATCGAAAGGGACTCGAATTCTGACGTTTTCAGTATAACGTTATATGGACATATAAGTGTTTGTCTGAATGTATTCGTGTTAGCATGATCATGTTTGTACAGTGCGGGTTGTGTATTATAGACATTCATCATCGACTTCCAAATAACGATGAGAATACAGTGTCTCGTTGTTTACTGGTAATTTTTCGTTTCGCTGAGCGCATTCATTAACTCGCTAATTAAATGCGCGCCAATGAACATTGAAACAAAACGATCAACCAATATCATTCGATGAGAATTAATAACGGAGCTTTCACATTTCTGCTGATTATGTAATTTTTGGGTGAGGCAAATTTTCTTTCTATACACAAACCTTGAAATTCAACTTTTTCTTTTTGCAAAAAACAGAAGCAAATCATTTATCCAAATAAGATAATTTGATATTGATTCTCTGAACAATTCCACATGTATATGCAGAACCAGGTGCCTAAGAATTATATTGGAAGCATTGCCGCATCAAGTAATAGCACTACAGAAAGCAATATGGCGGTACTTGAAAATTGAATTACGCTTATTGAGATCGGTGCTTCATACTAACAACCACATGGAAAATCGATTAGCAAATTCATTACTCTAAACCAAATAACATGTTTCGTGTATTTATACCATAAAAATATATCTTTAGTGTTGGAACTACAACTATATTTGCGACATATTTATTTTCTATGTACAAATAGTGAAATTCAAGAAAAGTTGTAAGTGTCCGTTTATGACCTCCCCACTTCATGTACATCCCCGAACGAAGGTCCTAAGGTCTGTACTCAGGTAATTTGAAACCAGTCCTCGTTTACCCGTTGTCAAAATAAAGCCTATACTATTTTTCATGCCAAAAATACTTGTGTACATTTTATTTCTCTATCCAGTCTTTGCGCGTATATTCTCTGTATTAAGTTAATATTCTAACATTTAGTGTAAAATACTAAATTCTAAATCATAGTCATAAAAAGATTTCATCGATTCATAATAGAAATTGTATACAACAATTGCGATAAGAATGAATAAAAGGGTGTAGGTCAAAGGACCAAAACTCGATGGCACTGAATTTTCCTTCGAGACATGTGGCTTCGCATGCACGTGACATTATTTATTACCACGTGCGATACCCCTCTACCAACCAGGAAACGCAAGCATTTAAAAGTAATTTATATCTACCAGCAGGTTTACGAGCCGGAGAGTAGATGGAACTTTTTACGAGGAAAGAGGATTTGATAGCATCACACAACGCTATTTTAACTACACTAAACCCTTTACAAATTACCAGTGGCTTTAGTATTACATCCCAGAAAAACAAAATCCATGTCAAGGAAAAATCTTCTATTTCATGGTACGGGGGAGAGGAAAAAAAAAATTCATTACACACAGCATACCTTTATAATAAATAATAAAATCCGTTTATATTCGCAAATATATACAGATTGCAAATTATTTATACATAAAATTGCATATAAAATATTTATCTCCAAAGATAAAAATTTCAATTTTTTTTTCAATAATTAATGTCAACTTTATTTATAATTAAAAAAAATTTAATAAAAAT